TTATATGTTTGATTTTGTACTGTACAAGTATTATTGTAATTTTGATTTTTTAAACGATCAAAAACTGTCTTCCATCAGCACTGTTGGCTGCTGTTACACTGTCCTTGAATTGCTGTCATCTAATGTTGTTCCTCCTTTCATGTGTTTTACCTACCGATCCCCAAAAGGACAGAACCACATGCAAGATTGTTTGACAGGCAGACGGCCCTTAGGGAACACAAACAGACCACTAGGACTCATTTAGGAAGGTTGGGGTACTCTGTTCACAATAATGGTAGTAATAATAATCACATTAATGAGGAGTGTGATGGCTAAAATGAAATCATCACAGCTGATGTATTTATACCTCATATCACTGGTCACAGAAGCAGGGATATCAAGGAGTGACTTGTATGTAGCATGACTGATGTGGCTACCGTTAAAAAACGCCTCAAGTAGCCCCTTTGCCATTAAACTTGACTTTTTTTTATTGTAGGATTTCCTGTTTTCTTTCCTTTTTAGAGACAATTTTCTGAACTTCTGAAAGGTTCTTGAAGTTGGTCACTTTATTATTGTTTCAATAACTAAGGTCAAGGAGATCCAAAGATGCTATGAATTGAAATATAATTTTATTCAGATGCACAGACTGTCAATTCACTTTGCATTTATTTTTGTTTTAAATTCATCCTGTGCCCTGCAGTTTTGTCCTGTAATTTGTTTTATGATTTGATGTGAAGCACAGCTGAAATATAATTTCTGGTTCAATGTGTAAAGCCCCCGCAGACACTGTTAAGCCTTGAATGATATCCTGTGTGGCTTGAATAATGCCACTATGTTTACCAAACATCATAAATTAGTGAATAATTAAACATATTATATTCAGAAACAAACAACAACCTTCAGATACACTCCTAAAAACAAAAGCAGCTTAAATTAATTTGCATTTTTGTTTTATTTTATTTTATTTTGTACACTGTGTACTACTATTTTTAATACTGAATGATTCCCATGCTTTAAAACAGTTTTACTTTATACCAAGAAACCAAAACTATTTGATCTGATTCATGCATGGGATTAGTTTATTATTTTACTAAAATCGATTTGTAGATTCTTATGGGCTGTCAAAAATTTTAATCAATACTGCAGCTGTACAGCTGTCAAGTTTACCATAACCTTAAGAACTTACTCCTGTTTTTCTTCTGCTTTAATTAGAAGCACAAGGATTCATCCCGATTCTCTGTGTCCTGTCCTTTTTGATGAATGACTGGCCACACATAAAACTTCTGTCACATGTATCTTAGGAACAAGCAACATATTCAAACATAGTAATCTTGCCGAACAACCACTTACACCGTTTACTGATGGTACAGAACCCCCTGAGGAACAGACAATGAATCAGATGTGTTCAAATCAATGGATTAGATGTGTTTCATAGAGTCTATTATTGAGAACATTTGAGATATGATACAATGAGCATCATAAAAGAACAATGACAGCACTAGTAGGCTATTTGATACATTTCAGGGAACTTCCATTTCACAATTATTTTTGTTCCCGTTTCCTCATTTTACTTCCTGTGATACATCAATAACCAGTAACAACTGACGCATTGTATTTAAATACATGTTGTAGGTAAGATCACTTGACTTTGAGAGTAAAACTTAAATCAATACCTGCTTATACTATTTGGAAAACTCCTCTCCTCCAACTCAATCATGTTCCAATCATATTACAGGTTTCTTAATTGCTAACACACTATAATTGATTCAGTTGGCACAATTTCCCGAACCATTCATTCAGTTCTCAAAACAAAGACACATTTCTCAAAACTCTAAACACGTTTCACCTGTTTTCACACACATTCCAATTTACTTTCAACAAAAGTCTACATAAAATGCATGATACGTTTTGCTCAAATAAATAGGTTTGAAAAAGTGCATCAACTAACTCTTATTATTAAGTCTCCCTGAAAGGTCATGTTTCAGTACCTACAATAAAAACCCATGAAATGTTCTGCATGTAAACATCTATTCTTTTAACTGGACAATAAAATATTTTCATATGCTGCACATTTCCCCAGTTCTGCTTCTCATTCTTGGAACAATGCCGGCCAGCTATCACTCATAATGATTTGCCTGCCTATCACAATACTTGTTTGGATTCTCTCACATTTTCATAAGTATATAATGGAAAGAGTTCTCATGAAATATAAAGGCTAGGGCAAAATGACCTTCCTTGTACTTCTTGTGTGGTATTGTGACACAACCCAAAATAGTTGCATTTTAGTCTAGTAAAGATCAATAAATCTGTAAAGCTAGAATTAAATCACCAGCAACGAACTAACCTACATAACCTGCCGTGAGTAAAATAAAAGTAACGCATAATCTTAAATTGAATCAGGACTTATTTGGAACTTTTTTCCTGCAATGTTTTAGTTAGAATCCATCTAGTGATTTTATTTTATTTTACTTTTATTTTTCTGTAATGTTTGCAAAATGATGACATGGAATGTTCCCTTAATGTTTGCATGACCGAGAACGAAACATTTTTAAAACATTTCAAAAACTGGACATTATGAACATTAATTAATAAAATTTTTATTACTTCATGGGAATTTTAGTAAAACTTATTTTTAGTAGAACATATTTTTGGAAGCTGGGATGGAAAAATCGAATATGTGGTATGTCCCTGTCAGTCTTTACAATGGTAAGGCAAGCGCACACCTCTGGAGGTGCCAGTTAAGAGAAGAAACTTCAAGTAAAATTATAACTGCACACTATACTGATACACTCAACACTGAATGATTTTGCATTCCTGCACAGATTAGAGTTCAAACCCTCCTCATTACACAAAACCCATTTGTCTTTATGACCATTTGAAATGTTAACAATATGGTTGCCTCAGCTCTAGAACTCTTTACCCTCTTATATAGTCTGAATGCCAGCACAGATCAGTCTTTATCACACAGTAAATGACACATCAGGGGAAGCTTTTGATTAGCTTTCAATGAAGTGTGTAGAATGTTCAGAAGATGAGAGATTAGACCTGGAAGGCCAAAGATATTCTCATTACATGATGTTCTGATCTGGAGGCCTCTATAGGAGGTGCAATTTCCCTATATGGAAACTGTCTTGTAAAATTACTGTTTTTATGTGTTTATTATACACAGGTGCCTTAAGAAGAAAATGACAAGGAAATATGTTCCAATAGAAGAAATTATGAACCAACAACTATTCTAGCTGTTTGTTTTGCTGACATTTTGCTGTGGCATGTTAGTTGACTCTGAATCTTGGCATGGCTAAATTTTATCTGTTGGAGCTTGGAGTGTTCACAGTCGTTCTTTTTATCACTGCTGGTTAAACAAAAGGCCTATGTTGCCATCCCGTCCTTGGCAATCCACAAATTTTCCAAAGTGATAAGAAGGAAGGGAGTGTCTGTAGCTACTTGATACAAGCGAAGGAGTTTGAACACTAAATGTCAAGACATTCTTCTTTAAAATAGTATCAAACCGAGCGTTTCCATTGGAGATATGAGCACTCCCCACCCTTATTGTGACAGTCTTAATGAGTTTTTGAAATGAATCAGAACAATAAAGCTTTGACGTCAGCCTCTTTTCATATTGGTTTCCTTTCCATGGTTTTAATTTTTCATATTTGTTATTGGGGTTTACTCACGTTTCATCGTGGAGTCTGCAAACATCAAATATGACTGTTCAGTTGACATCTGCAGATATGCTCTAGTTCAAAACAGGAGCCCTTTTATAGCCTCATAAAATACATATCTTATTTGAAGGCTTGAGTTAATTTTATGAAAAGGAATTTGTAAAATGTTTCACAATAAGGTGTGCTATAATTGTCCAACTTAACTGTATGTGCGTCAGTATATGGCCGATGTGACGATATAGGTTAAAAGATGATGGTAATAACTCCTCCTGTATTTCTGAATATAACATAAATACCGTGATAAAGTGATGGAATAAAATATGAAAAGGTTACACACACACACACACACACACACACACTGGTATTCCATCAGGGGATATTTTTATATTTTACAAACAATATTTTCTATCCCCTTACCGTAACCCTACCCCTAAACCGATCAGTCTTTATCACACAGTATATGACACATCAGGTGAAACTTTTGATTAAATTTAAATGAAGAAAATAACAAGGAAGTACGTTCCATCAGAACAAATTATGAACCAACAACTATTCAAGCTGACACTTTGCTGTGGCATGTTAGCTGACACTGAGATCTGGCACAGCTAAGTTTTATCTATTGGAGCTTGGAGTGTTCAAGTCTTTTGCACAAAACTTTCTGCATTTTTCTTTGTTGTTGTTGTTGTTTTCATTTTCACACTCGTTTCCCTGGCAATTCATTTAAATTCTGAGAGGTCTTTAGTCCTGATGGATTTTCTGACTTCACTTCCATCACTAATGTTATTGCAAATAAACTGCACATTGATGCAAATGCTCCAAACTGATGCAAATAAAGCAACACCTAAGCACCCCATATAGTAAGTCTAGCTTAGAACATTTAAAAATAGGAAGTTAACCATTGATTTCAATAAAAGAGTCCTTGTTAAATGACATTTTCTGAACAGACCCATGACGTAAAAACCAAATGTGTGCCACGGGATCTAATATTATATTTTTAAAATCTACAATAGGTACTAATACTACCACTACTTACTATTGTTTTCATGCCTAACTGGGATTTTGATAAATAAATAAATAAATAAATAAATAAATAAATAAATAAATAAATAAATAAATAAATAAATAAATAAATAAATAAATAAATAAATAAATAAATAAATAAATAAATAAATAAATAAATAAATAAATGGGTTATTCCACGAGGGTTATTTGTTAAGATTATTAATATATACCTGCGTTTCTTAATGTTGGGTGTGTTGGAGAAAAATAAATGAATGTGCCATACTGATTTCAAGAGTCCTGTTTCGCAATCTAGCCCAAGTATCCTCCCCCCTGCAGCCGTATTTAACTCGCTGCCTCTCTGAAGCCACCTGTAGCGGATCTCTATCCTCCAAAGGAAATAAACCTCCGAAAGCCACCGAGTTAACGGAACTAAAGCTCTTGACACGGAAGACGTCTTCTGTTTTCCTTTTTTTTTTTTTTGCATTATCAATAACTTTTATTATTATTATTATTTGTATGAACGACATTTAAATAGAGAACTATGTTACCGACGCATCGACTATTCCTATTAATATTAATCTCGACTTCAGGTAAGCCTGCAATCTGAGTGTGTTTGTGTGTGCTGATGGGTTTATTCCTATAGATATACAATAAGTAGTCTGTATTTGAAAATACATTTTATTTTGTAGATTAACCCACTGGTAATGATTTGATTTGCGCCGTGACCCACTTATGTTTTAAGGACCATGGACAGTCTCGAGTGTTAAAACTCCACAACTACATTTTAGTTTTATATTAATGCTCGTCTGGTGTTTAGAAGTGTTTGTAAGAGACACAACTTTCGCCTGGCAACACCAAACAAAACGTGAGGCACATAATGATCCGTGGAAGCGTTGTCCTTAGCTAACTCACCGCTAATATTTGTCACCCAAATGTCCTTTTAAGGCTCTAAAACTAGTTGCTGAAGCAATGAAATTAAATAAAATATAAATGAAAGAGCACTTCGACTTGATTTTTATAGTCTTTTACTAGTCTTATATAGTCAGTTTGTCCCTCTGAAAAAGCTCGGTGGCAGATATAACTGCCACATTTAGGCGTAATAATGAAAGAGTCTATTATTACTTTATTACTATGTTTTTTAAATATATATATATATACATACCTCTTCCTCACATAAATCATGATCACGTGCAAATATGTCATTGGTCACAGTTGTGGTCAATGGGAAACATTTTGAATAACTAACTGAATGGTTCACATTATAAAATTGTAGGTCTCAAATTAATGTTACATTAAATTAAACAATAGTAATAATGAAAATGCATTTATTCTTGGATTATTATTCTCCACAATCCACTATTGTCTGAAAAAAAAGAAAAGAAAAAGAAAGTTAATTTATTGTTTGAAACTTTCTGTTCTTATATGGTTCTGTTTTATACTTTACATATATATATACCATGTCAATGCCATGTTGGTATTCAATACTTGAAATTATGTAATTTTTTGGGAATATCAGTTATGTTTTCACTTTTTGTCCTTAGAATGTGATAAACTATGAAGCGAAACAGATGTTTCTAATTTGAATATAGTGCCTCTAAGTCTGTGGCTCTTTACCTTTAAGCAAAACAATTTAACCAGAATCCCTCTGCATTGTTCAATGTGCACCGTTGCTTATTTAAGAACCAAATCCTTTCTCTTGTTGTTTTACTGTCTTTTGTGTGTTTAATGAAGTGAGGATGGGCTTTAAGCATTTTAGAGGAACAGCTACTACAGCTATGTAGAATTACTGTCAGAGGCTATTTGCACTTAGCGCAAATGCGATATATGCCATGGATTCTGCAATGGATTCTATTTACACTATGTAAAAAATAACAGTATTTTTGTTTTGTTTTTTGGAATAAGTGTAAATAGTAGTTTGATGCTATTCTTAGTACAAATAGTGGCAGATATTTGCACCTCAGTATTGTACTACATTATAGGTGCGAATTTATTTTATTTAGGACAATAAAGCCCTCCCTACACCTACTCCTAAACCTTACCCAATAAACACTTATCATTAAATACCCATGGCTAACTTTAGTTCCACTTTTCAAATATTTCCTTCATTTTTATTGAAAATAAACGCCTTTCCAATCTGATATGTGATGGGTAAAACAGGAGAAGAAAGAGTTTGGTAAAAGGCAGATTCTAACCTGGATCGATTGCGTCCAAAGTCACTGTCACACTCTTTACTGCCTACTCTACCAATACTGCTATTTGATTGGCATCTTTTGTCATGATGTCAAGCCAAGCCCAACCACACAGTTGTGGGCAGAGTTAGTCCAAATAGCCTCTGCCAACAAGGTGAGCTATTTGCACTTAGTGTAAATAGACACTCCAATAAATATTAGCATGCTTTATTTTAAGAATTCAGTTCAAAGACCTTTTGTTTGGACAACATAGGTCATTTTTATTTTCAATTCAGATATTTGTGACCCTGGACCACAAAACCAGTCATAAGGGTCATTTTTTTGAAATTGAGATTAATACATCTTCTGAAAGCTGAATAAATAAGCTTTCTATTGACGTATGGTTTGTTAGGATAGGACAAAATTTGGCCGAGATATACAACTATTTGAAAATCTGGAATTTGAGGGTGCATGCAAAAAAAATCTAAATATTGAGAAAATCGCCTTTAAAGTTGTCCAAATGCAGTCCTTAGCCATGCATATTGCTAATGATAATACATTTTTGATATATTTACGGTAGGAAATTTACAAAATATCTTCATGGAACATGATCTTTACATAATATCCTAATGATTTTTGGCATAAAAGAAAAATCTATAATTTTGACCCATACAATGTATTTTTGGCTATTGCTACAAATATACCCGTGCTACTTATGACTGGTTTTGTGGTCCAGGGTCACATTTGTTCACTCAGTGAACTCAGTTTAGGTTGTTTTGCAACCTATGGCTGGTTCAATATGGAATATAGGATGTTGGGTTTAACCTAGCATATTTGTTTGATTTATGCTAATTCAACTTATACTGACTGATACCTCATCATCAGCTGGGTTGTATGCTGCATTTATACCTGGAACGATGTCTGAGATGACCATATTCCAGTACAAAAGTCAGAAAATCAAGATGACCGCATCCATTGGTAGCAATACCAGTCTATAAAATACATAAAATGCATAATACCTTTAACAAAGTATCATGTCCACAGTTAGAGGTTGGATAGAACTGTGTGCACCACTGAGTTTCTTAAGACTAACAGAAGTGATAAGAAGCAATGTATTACTTTAGTTTCAGTTACTGTTGATGCGTTGGACGGTCATTTTGCATTCTGAATTTGAGGTTGTTGCTGTTCCTCAGAGTTGCAACTCTGACTTGAGGGGTGCTCCAGTTAAAAGTTCCTACTAGGAAGTCGGAATTTCTGACTTCAGAGTATAAATGGACCACTTACCAGGTGGTGGAGGGGTGTATTGTTTCAACTGTCAGTGACAAAAATATATATATATGCACCTTCAGATTAAGTATGTCTAGCATTCATCTATTGTGCACTTCTTTAAGTGTAACAGGCTGACACAAAAACAATTGTGAATGGCTGCATGACACATGCTCAGATTTTTCATTTTATGCTGCTTATCAAATCTTTATGCAATTATCTTTTTTTCTGTTTCTGATTATGTGTTTGTGGTCATCAACAGCAGTAACAAACATTCCATCTGAGAATACAACTGCACCATCCACAAACAATGCCACCACCCCACTGCTGTCAACGCATGATGGCAATGTCACATCTCCACCTTTATCTACTCAAGGCAACGTGACAAGCTCGTCTACAGTTGCACCAGAAAATACTACCAGTTCATCAGTGAGTACACCAGGAAATGCCACAGCTTCACCTGCACCTGTAACAACAGAAGCAGCCAACTCCACAAGTCCACTTGTACTTACACCAGAGAATGCTACAAACCATCCTGTAACTTCACCAGGCAGCGCCACAACTACTCCTTTACCTGAGCCAGGCAACAGCACAACCCTACCCCAAACTACAAGAGGCAATGACACTAATCATCCCATTAGCACACCAAGCAACAGCACAGCTTCACCAATTACAACACCAAGCCATGCCACAATTACAACACAGACTACATCAGGTAATGCTACAACAGCAAACAATGCAACAACTCCAACCTTAACCACAGATATTTCAAATCTAACTACACCAGGGAATAATGCAACAGTAAATGTTACCATACCACCCCTAACTACACCAATAAATGCTACTGCTCCACCTCCAACGACACCAGTAAATGCTACTGCACCACCTCCAACTACACCAGGGAGCAATGCAACAGTAATTGCTACCACACCACCCATCACTAATCCAGTAAATGCAACTACACCACCTTCAAATACATCAGGGAGCAATGCAACAGTAAACGCTACCACACCACCCATAACTACACCAGTAAATGCTACCACACCACCTCTAACTACACCTGTGAATAATACAATAGTAAATGTTACCACACCACCCATAACTACACCAGTAAATGCTACCACACCACCTCTAACTACACCTGTGAATAATACAATAGTAAATGTTACCACACCACCCATAACTACACCAGTAAATGCTACCACACCACCTCTAACTACACCTGTGAATAATACAATAGTAAATGTTACCACACCACCCATAACTACACCAGTAAATGCTACCACACCACCTCTAACTACACCTGTGAATAATACAATAGTAAATGTTACCACACCACCCATAACTACACCAGTAAATGCTACCACACCACCTCTAACTACACCTGTGAATAATACAATAGTAAATGTTACCACACCACCCATGACTACACCAGTAAATGTTACTATGCCACCTTTAACTACACCAGAGAATAATGCAACAGCACATGCTACCACACCACCCATCACTACTCCAGTAAATGCTACTACACCATCCCTAACTACGCCAGGGAACAATGTAACAGTAAACGCTACCACACCACCCATCACTACTCCAGTAAATGCTACTACACCATCCCTAACTACGCCAGGGAACAATGTAACAGTAAACGCTACCACACCACCCATCACTACTCCAGTAAATGCTACTACACCATCCCTAACTACGCCAGGGAACAATGTAACAGTAAACGCTACCACACCACCCATCACTACTCCAGTAAATGCTACTACACCATCCCTAACTACGCCAGGGAACAATGTAACAGTAAACGCTACCACACCACCCATCACTACTCCAGTAAATGCTACTACACCACCTCTAATTACACCAGGAAACACTACAACAGGAAATGCCACCACACCACCAGTAAATGCTACAACACCCCCCCTAACTACACCAGGGAACAATGCAACAGTACACACTACCACACCACCCATTACTACTCCAGTAAATGCTACTACACCACTTCTAACTACACCAGGAAACAATGTAACAGGGAATGCCACCACACCACCAGTAAATGCTACAACACCACCCCTAACTACACCAGGGAACAATGCAACAGTACACACTACCACACCACCCATCACTACTCCAGTAAATGCTACCACTTCACCTCTAACTACACCAGGAAACAATGCAACAGGGAATGCCACCACACCACCCATCACTACACCAGTAAATGCTACAACACCACCAATAACAACACCAGGGAACAATGCAACAGTGCACACTACCACACAATCCATCACTACACCAGTAAATGTTACAACACCACCCCTAACTACACCAGGGAACAATGCAACAGTAAACGCTACCACACCACCCATAGCTACACCAGGAAATACTACAACAGGGACTGCTACGCCACCACCTCAGTCTACACCAGGAAATGCTACTACACCACCCATAACCAACTCAACGACTGGACCCACTGTTTCTACTACTAACCCAACTAACACTACAACCACGCCAGGTGTGTTTGAATTAATGTGTTGTGTGATTGTATATTGCGGAGTAATTCTGAGTAATGAGGAGTTCACAATTGCATTTAGTAATTTCTCCCATTCATAAACACTGAGTGACATCTTTTTTCTTTTAGCTACCTGTCCTGCAGTGCCCTGCCCACCACTCAGTGTCTGTGTGAACTCCATCTGTCAGTGTGTGACAGGAACTATTCCTTTAAATAATGCCTGTGTGGAAAGTACGTATCTGATGCCAAGCCTCTTGGCAACTTATCCTCTTTCTTAGACTGGACCATGGGACTTTACAAACATCCTTCTATATTTAATTGTTTATATAAATCATATGATTACAGTGATTATTAGGAAGAATCTAACAAGACAAACAGTGTAAGCACTTTAACACCCCCACTCTCTCTCCTCACATCCTGTGTTTATTTCCAGCTAAAACCTTCCCTAGTACACTGCGGGTGAACCGCACTTTTGAAGAGGCTATGAACAATCCACAATCACCTGAATTCCAGAAAACTGCTAAAGAGATCATTGCTGCGGTAGGTCACAAACTTACATTACAATCTGGTCTATTAACTTTATTTGAACTTTTATTAAAATAAATATTATTATTTTTTTTAAATTATTGCTCTATTGCCTTGGAGCCTAAATCATTATTCTTTCTTTCTTTTCGCCATAGGTAAATGAAGCTCTGCGTAACCAGTCAAACTACATTAACAGCACAGTAATTAGGTTGATGTAAGTGACCCTTTGAAACACTTCTTAACCACAGCTCTTACACATATGTATCATATTTGCAGAATACTAATCTCTGTGTAAATACTTACAGGTCTGGCAGTATAGTGGCCACAGTAAACAGTTTTTTTGAGCCCAATTCTCCAGTCACACAGGAGTTGGTTACATCTGCCATGAATACTGCTATAAGTGATTGTGAGAAGACAAACTGTGGTATTCTTGCTAATGCTCAATACACTGGTGAGTGACTTGAATAGATGTATTAAATAAGCTGTGATATGAAAACAGTGAAACAGACGTATTCATGTCCACATAGAAAATCATACAATACATTATACTAGTTTCACAAATATACTGCTCTCACATAATTATATAAAACAATTTTCGTATTAAATCATTCTTTATTTACATTTACATTACTTGACAAACATTTAAAACATTAATTCCTGTTTAGGCAACAAATTATCTTAAGAGCATTAAGTATACTTTGTTAATTTCCACAAAGATTGACAAAGCAACTTCTCTTGCAGTTGTATTAACCCGCAAAAGATTGTTCCTCCATTTAGAATTCAATACAGTGTCAAACATGGGGTGTTTAGAGATGTTTAGCCATGACTCTGGCCATGTTTTGTAATTGTGAACGTTTTAGATCACATAAAAGATCTTTCTATAGCCCTAAAATATACTGGAGTTTTCTATATGAAATACTTTCAAGATGCTGATATCACTACTAACTATGCTACCATCTACAACTAATTAATTCTTGCTAAACAATTTGATTAAATATTGAATTGTTATGCACATTTGTTTGCAATTATAATGCATGTAGCTTTTTATGACTTCATATTAAATAAGAGAATACATTAAACATTTATATATTTAGAAATTAATTTGTTACATCGCAGGACCATTTAAAATTAACCAGTGAAGGTAAACATGATGAAAACTTAAAGGACCTAAGATAAACACTTTCCGTCATGCATCTATCTAAACAACTACCTACTGTCTCTTTCTTTATAGCATCCAATCTGTGTGAGCAAGATCCTCCTCCTTGTGATATTAACACTACATTGTGTGAGGCCAAAGATGGGACAACTGATTGTATCTGCAAACCTGGCCATATATCTAGTCTTTACCAGACCAGAAGCTGTAGAGGTGAGCGTGTGTCTTTATTACCCCATTTGTGTGGACTACCATGTGTGTTTGTGTGTGCATATCATAATCATCCGTGACCTCCGTGAAGAATGAAAACAATTAAGAAATAAAAAATGTGTTAAATGAATAATTAATACCTTTTCATGGTGAGAAAGCTGTGTTTTTGGCTGGTAGATTTTCTTGATTCAGCAACTATTGGCAGGTATAGGAATCACACAAATCTGAAACAATACATAGTTTAGTTGATTGTTTTACTGTCTGCTCTACCATCTTTCTATGATTCAGTCTATTTACTCTCTATTCTTTTCACAGTTTGCCCTAGTGGCTACAAAGCGCAGGCAGACACGTGTGTTCGGTGAGAACGATTTCATTTCTTTGTTCTTAATAACACACTCTAATTTTAGTAGAACAAAGTCTGTGTGTAATTTATCTGTTCCAGTAATGGGAACCACAGTCATACCTCAAACATGATGGTTCAGAAATACTAAATGTCTTCCTTGTTGTCACAAACTGAACTGCTCTATTCAATGGTGGAGTGTATGATCAGTTTATTTGTAATAGAAACTACTGCCCCCTTGTGTCAAGGCAATATTGCAACAGTCACATAACTGCAGATAGGTGTCAGCATGCTCATGTCCTTTTTTTTTTTAAACAGATGTCCATTTGGCTATTCTGGATTTAACTGTGATGACTGTAAGATATTATTATTACAGTATTTCTTGATTTTTAACCATTAATGTAATAATTTTGTGTGTATGTGTGTGTCTAATGACCTTGTATCTCTGTGTAGCCTATTTGTTGGCTCTAGTGGTGGTGGCGTGTGTGTTAGGGGGAGTTCTGCTCATTGTGATTTTGGCTGTACTCATCTACATCTGTGTGACTCGAAGGTGAGTATTCATGAGACGTCAGGTATAGGACGTGCATTTGAATGTCTCTATGCGAGACTTTTATGCTCGTTTATGGATATACATTTCCCACTTGTTAACAATTTGTGTGTTTATTGTTTATTTCACAGCAAGAAGAAGTCAAGCAGCAATTATTACAACAGCCCGTACCCTGCTGAGGAGTTCCAGACCACGTGGCCCTCTCAGGACATCACCCATATTCCACGAGCTACTGTGACATCTAGTTCCAGCATTGATGCCACTGGCAACAGTCTAGAGATGTCTGAAGGGCCAGGCAAGAAAGGCCACAGTAATGGATTGGTGAGTACCTCCTTTCAGTCAAAACTTCACAAATAGTTAATAACCAGTTAAACCCTTTGGAACAGTTACACTTATCTTTAAATAACAGTGGGTTTTGTACTGTTTCAAAGACAAGCTTATGTGTGGACTTTTTTCGTTGAATAACTATTGTAAAATTAAATTATGCATATACACTACTGTTCAAAATTTGGGGGCAAGTTTCCACAAAAACCAATTATCAGCACAGCTGTTTTCAACATTGATAATAAGAAATGTTTCTTGAGAAAATCTACATATTAGATCATTTGACTGAAAATTCAGCTTTGCCATCACAGGAATAAATTAAACTGTAAAATATATTCAAACAGAAAGCATTTTTGCCATGTCCTTGGTTAGTAGATGCACCAGGGACCTGATTATAGCACTTAAAACCTGGAAAAGTCAGATTTTCATGATATGTCACCTTTAAATTGTAATAATTTTTCAAATTTTTACTGTATATTTTGATCAAATATGCAGCCTAGGTGAGTATAAATGATGTCTTTCAAAAACCATTAAAAATTCTTACAGACCCCAAACTTTTAAAGTAGTGTAAATTTATCTTATTTATATATCATATTCATATTCATATTTTATTTTATTTTATATTGCTTAATTTATATTATGAATTATACCTCTTTTTAAAAATAATTTTAAGAAATGAACCCCCTGTAAGTTAGTTGAAATTCTTCCATTAACCCTGCATGTGCCCTGTTTATCTCATACTAACACTAATAATAGTATAAGCCATATGACATATATATCACACCACAAACAAATACAAAATATTTTGTTCAACCAGACCCTTGTCCATTTGCAAATCTTTACTCTGCCTGCCAAGCTGAACTCCAATGACATACTCCTAATTGATGCAAAGATTGGATTATGCTAATTTTCTTCAAAGTATTTCTTGACTGAATGACTGAAGTCCATTATGAGCAGATGTAGTCCTAACAATGCCACATATAAAGAGAGTCTGTTGCATTAGTGAAACAATTGCATTTGCGGTAAGCGGAAAGCTAACAGTAGTACGTGACACTTGGGAAACTGGGCGATCCCTCAGTAGATTTCATAACTTTAATGTATGAAATCAGAATTTTATCATAATGGATGTACAAGTTTTGTGATGGGTTAGCTCATGAACAAACCTCTTTGTGTGTGTTTGTGCACGTGGTATCCCGTATATGGGCTTGATTTCTCCTCACTCCAAACACTATGACTATAGAAGATTGGAGGAAAGGTAAGTCACCGACTCCTGGTGTGTCCTGGTGTGTCGTCAGGGACTGTAAAAGGCAGACATGGACCATATATATGGACCATATATGAATGTACAACATACCGGCTGTGGTTCCGCCTTAAACTTAAAAGAGCCAATTGCATTATTGAAATGCTCAATATGATGGCTGTAGGAATGGAAGTCCCGTCTCACAGTTAAAATAGAAAGCTAAAATGTTTTTAAATAAATGCTATTTTTTTTACTTTCTATTCGTCAAAGAATCCTGAAAAAAAATATATATTAAGCAGAACAATTGTTTTTAACATTGATAATACTAAGAAATGTTTATTGAGCATCAAATCAGCATATTAGAATGATTTCTGAAGGATCATGTGACACTGAAGACACTGAAAGCTGAAAGTTCAGCTTTGTCATCACAGGAATAAATTATATTTGAAAATAATAATATTTCAGACTAATAATATTTAATAATATTACTGTATCAAATAAATGCAGCCTTGGTGAGCATAAGAGACTTATTTCAAAAACCATTAAAAAAAATCTTACAGACCCCAAACTTTTGATATTTTTGATCAATTTCCATAAATTGGGGTCTTTCACGGCTTGTATGGTTGCGTTACAAGTATGGCCGCCAAGTGAACTGACTTGCTTTAAAAGGACCTTGGTCTCCAAGTTCTTTCATGTAAAGGAATATTCTGGGTTAAATACAACTAAAAGTTTAAGTGTGTACCTTCTGCAGCATTAGCATTACCAAAATAATGAACGTAGCACCAACAACACCTTTGTCATCACTTACGTATATAACCTAGAAGGAATATTCCTTTATTTTGCTTTTATTTCTTCTTTTCTCTTTGTGACTGGCATCATCACTTCCCATTGCCGTGTATACACTCTGATTCTGAACTGTATTACTGTTATGTCCGGGATGAGATCTTGATTTTGATCTCTGGTTTGACCTGTTTGCATGCCATCATAAGCTTTGCATGATTTTTTTAAAGTAGGTTATTGTGTTTTTCCTGCATGCTGGTATTATAAGATGAGATGTGCTGAGAGAATGAAGCGTTGTGGGTTGTGTTTACCTGTACATGGCTAACATGGACTATAACTTCTTCTGCAGTCGGGCTCGTATGACCTCAGAACAGATGGCATGAGGACCTTTAAGGATATAAACCCCACACGCTACTCTTATCTGGTGGGTCACGAAAACCCCTACTTCATACAAGGAGATGAGAAGAAATGAGGAAAACAGCAGAGAAAGCCAGTGGACAAGAAAAGAGTGCAATAGCGACATGGATTATAAAAAGGCCTTGGATCAAAATGTTTCAGGAACGTTAACACTGTCAAAACCATACAGCTGATCACAGAGTCAAAGTATATACACAAACAGCATTTGAGAGATACGTTTATATATATATATATATATATATACATTTTACAGTTTTTATTCCAAATCCCTTTCACCCAGGATAAAATGCTCTTTTCTTAAAAGTGCATTGATGGTTGGGTTTCTTCTACCACAAGCTTGATAAACGTGTCCTGTGTATGACAATGTGAAATGAATGCTTAACCACTCATCTGTTGATATCTGTATTTTTTGTCACTTCTTATGTTTTGTCTGCACATTTCATTTTCAGAGTTTTGTTATCTGACAGAGATCATGCATATGTTACTGTGGTTTTCAACTCAAAATACTTTATTATAAAGGATGTAATATTAAACCATATTTTATTTAAATTTCTCATCTGTGGAAGCGATAAGGGCAGAATATCCAGTAGTTCTGATGTATCTAATCTATATTCTGACAGTAACTGCACTTTGTAGGAGAGAGCATGTCTTGTGTCTATGTGTGTGTGTGTGTGTGTGTGTTTTAAGTTTTATCTATCACAAAGACAGAACTGGTACATTCAGTTATGAATTTTTGGTTGATATCTCCTCCAAAGAATTAATTTATTTTATGCCAGGACAATGCATGCCACCAGAAATTGATCTCTGTGCCTGATTGTGATGTTATCTTTTGAATAGGAGAATTATGCAATGATGAGGAGTTAACAACCATGTCTCCTCTGTAGTCGTGCCAATAATTATATTTATTTAAATCAGTACATGACATTGTTTACTCAGCTGTCTGTTTGCTTCATATACATATTTATGTGTAACTGGGATATTTTCTATCTGTACATAAAGCTTTTGTAAAAAAAACAAAAACATAAAAAAAAGCTCCTTGTATAAAGTGATTAATCTTGTTCTGTATAATGAAAGGAAATAAATTAATAATAAAGATGTAGTTATCTACAATTTGTCCAGTTGTTCTTGTATATGTCTCCACACGTGCATATACACATAAACTTTTTTTTCAGTATTGGTTTATTACCTTTTTTTTAATACATAAGCGCAGTAGTAAAACATAGCATTTGTTTTATTTGATTACAATCATTATAAAATCACATTTTCCAATCCATGAAATCCATTGTTAAATTCTGAAAAGTTATAAATTAGTCAAGAGGAAATCGGAAGCCTCGAATATAAATTTTAAATAAAAAGACTGTCCATATAAGAGCAAATAACATACACTATAAAAATTGAGGTTTAGATATACTGGGGAAAAAAACATTTAAAAAGATGACCTTTTATGCCCCATGAGTGTGTGTGTGTGTGTGTGTGACAGAGGGGCTCTTGTAAATCTTTTCCTTAGAGTCAGATCAGGTGTAACAGATGTCTCTGAATTAATTAGACAGAAGCCCCAAAACAAGCCTTTCAACCCTTGACGACCCCTGCACCCATTAATGAGGGGCTCTAAATGAAGAACATCCATATTATTTATGCAAGGCTACTGTGTCAAAGAGGACCACATGGCCCTATCAAAAACACACACTGGGTTACACACACGCTTGCTATTAATATAAGAGTTCATGTTTAAACTTACTAGCAAGTCTATCTACATATGTATTTAATTTATTCACATTGTATTTGGTATATTCATGTTATAATCATAACAATCATCAAAAAAATTTCGGGTGGCTTAGTTTAATCACTCATATCTGAGCTCAAACATACCGTGGGCTTACTTGTAAAAAATGCTTCTTTTTTAAATTCAATGTAATATTTCATTACAAGTTACACTGTAAGAAAAAAAAAGTAGAAAAGTGAATAATATCCTAGCAAAAAATTGCCAGTATTTTTCCTGTTAAAGGAATAGTTCACCCAAAAATGATCATTTTGTCATCATTTACTCACCCTCATAGCCTTCCAAACCTGTACGAGTTTCTTTCTTATGTTGAACATAAAAGGAGATATTTTGAAGAATGCTGGTAATAAAACAGTTGTTGGTCCCAATTGACTTCCATTTCTTTCCCCATGGAAGTCAATGGGGACCAACAACTGTTTGGTTCTTCAAAATATCTTCTTTTGTGTTCAACATGAAACTCATACAGGTTTGGAACAGCATGAGGGTGAGTAAAAATTACAAAAAATGACATTTTTGGTGAACTATTCCCTAAAGTTTAAGGACATTTCCAAACACGAAAAAACACAAAGCGAAATAATTCCTGTGAAAATACAGAAAATAATCTCTGTCTGTCTGTCTGTCTGTCTGTCTATCTATGTTTTAAACATGATGAGGATTCTAAAACTTTCTGTTCATGCTCAGGTTTAATTTAAGGTTTAATTTTTGAAAAATCTGATTTTTGATAAGGTCTTATATTTTGGAACCTTTTTGTACCTAAGATGAAACCCATACTACAGCTCAGGACCACACTAAACCCAGCCCTGGACTGTGGATTAATCCATCTACATGTACAACAAAGAAACAGCAACAATCTCACTTACACTCACATGTAAATACTTTGCATGCCCATGGAAGAGAGAGGAGGGGGATGGGGAGGGCCTCTACCTCCATGTCTTCCATCTGACTGTGTGAATGAGTGCTCAGGCTTTCAGAGCTGCTCAAGTGAACACAATAATCTAAAGAGAGAAAAAAAGACACAGAAGGTGGGAGGGGGAAGAGATGCCCACTGGAGGCAACACGGCCCCTGCATGTCTTACAACACCCACCTGCTTCTGTCTCTGGTGACATAATGACAGCAGAGGGAAAGAGAGAGAGAGAGAGAGAGGCTGGAGGATACTGGATGAACGGAGGAGAGAAGGGGAGGAGGTAGGACGGGAGGGAGGATGGAAAGGGGAGGGGGTTTGTGTATGTGTGTGGAAGAGCGAGAACCACAGAGAGACAGAAAGAGAAGCGACAGACGGCAGGGGCGGCAGCCGGAGGAAGAGTCACAGTGAAAGAATCAGTAAGGCAACCGTCTGAGAACGACAGATCCAGAGACAGAAAAAAGAGAGGAAGACGGAGTCAGAGGTAGGCTGCTCCTTTCTATTACCTTCATTTGCTTCATTATACCAGAGCTAAACACAAAGCCAGGCCCAGCGTTCACAGCACGAGATCATTGTGTGTGTTTTGGTGATTATCTCATCTAGAGGGTCTTTATTTTCTCTCTGAGCCAATCAGTGGCATATGTGCAAATCAGCACTGCACTGCAGATGGAGAAGAGAGAGATTCAGAGGAAGAGAAAGACTAACGGAGAGAGAGGGAGAGTAAGGATGCATTAGGCATCTGAGCAGAGAGAAAGAGAAAGTACTGATGCCTTTACAACAGTGCTGAGGAAAACGTGCCGACCTGTTTCCATTATTGATAGTAAGAGTCCACCAGTTTGTTCATTGTTTGTCTGAGGTGCATGTGTTCCTGCAACAATGTAAGTGAAACAGAATTAGGTCACTGTGAGTTGAATTCTAATGGTCTGGATCTGTTTAGAAGTGGGTGCAGGGTTAGAGAAATGCTGCTTGTACCACAAAACACAAAACGCTTCATTATAACAGGCATTTAAACTATTAATGACTTTGTGCTGGCAAAATAATGATTCTAACATGATGTAGCCTCCAGGCAACATATATTCCTCTAAGATCAATGCAAGTTTTGAAGATGGTTCAGGAAAGCATTCAAACCGATGTCTACAAATGTCTTGCTGTCTTTCTAATCTCTAACAAAAGGCAATTCTGTGTGATCGCTGACCTTTCACCCCTGGGTCAGCTTATTATTCATAAATCCCATTTGGCACTAATATAAAATCTTTCTCAATGTGTCATCAACATGCATCACTTTTATCTTTAGAGGTGCTAAAGAATAAGTCTCATTTGTTGGCATACTATTATTATAGAGAGATCAGTGGTTGTGAGCAAACTTCCAATGGAGTCTTGGACTTAAAATTATTATGTTTGAAAACATAAAAAAAACCACATTAAATAAATAAAAAAAATTCACTTCAATAACTAGTATTTTAAAACGCAGAATCAAAATCTGTTCTAGACAGAGGACTGATTTGTAATTTGTTACACTGAGTTATTTGAAGTTATTCGACACAAGGAGAAGGTTTATTTCAGACCTCACATGCATTTCCCAGATTAATCACCAGTACTGGATCAAAATACATCTCGAGGGATATAAAAACTCCTCTAACAATCCTGTACATGCTTTTATCTCTGTCTGTGAAAACCTATCCATTTCTTAGATAACCTGATTGAAATCCCTCTGCCATTATAACAGTTTAAAGGAGCCTTATCCCATGCCAAGCAGCTCTCCACCTGCTTTCAGCTGTGTAAGCAAACAACTCATTATGATTATTTGCAATAACCTTCCCATCAGTCACAGATAACGTCAGTTATCTTACAGACCCCCAAAAAATCAAATCTGGACTTTTGTAGCGTTTAAGTGAACCTGCAACCTGCGAATGACTATTAACTGCTAATTTATTTATTTTAGGGGTCAGTAAGATTTTTTTGTAAAGGAATTAATTCATTTATTCAGCAAGGACACATTAAATTGGCCAAAAGTGACAGTAAAAACATTAATAATGTTACGACAGATTTCTATTTCAAATAAATGAAGTTTTTAAAAAACTTTCTATTCATCAAAGAATAAAAGCATGTATTACGGTTTTCACAAAAATATTAAGCATCACAATTGTTTTCAACATTGATAATAATAAGGAATATTTCTTGAGCTAAACTTTTGAAAGGTGTATATCCCATTCAACTTTCCTGTTTTATCAATAAAGGTCAACACAAAAAATTTGCACTTGTCAAGCAATTGTCTTCCGCTGTTGAAAAAACGAAATGTCCCGTCCTGAACTCACACCATTGGTTAAGCAAGAAGCTGACATGTCAAACTGCTGCTCAAACAATGCTTAATTGTTTGATGGTGCAACAGAGCCAGTGTTTCACTTTTCAGAGGAATTAACCTAAAACAGGGATGGGAGAAAGTATTTTACAAAAATGACACAATTTCCATTTAAAGTTAGCTCAATATAAGAAGAATCTAAAGTTTAGAATGAAAGGTGTGTTGAGTTTTCAAATGATTTTCAAGATGTTAAATCATATTCAAATGGATGAACTCTGTGCAGGTGGCCTATATAATCATAAGCTTCCCTATAGTTTATATATTTTGCTCTGGTTCCCTTCAGAGTCTCAGAGAGTAAATATCCTCCAGGCGGCAGGCAGACAGCACCATTCACCTAACGGCATTAAATGTGTTTTATACACCCTTAAAGTTTTTAATGACCAGATTGGATTTGATGTTCTGAAATTCAGCACACATCCGCACAATTTAAGAAGGCCAAACAGATGCACTATCTGCTGAAGACTTCCTGACCTAAACAGACCTTCAAAGCCAATAAGGTTGCAGAGAGGTCTTTGTCAGTATATCTCTCTCTCTGTCTCTCTCTCTGTGTGTGTGTGTGTGTGTGTGTGTGTGTGTGGTTTTCTTAGATCCAAGCCAAAACTGAAAAGGGCTCTAAGCTGTTCTGGACAGAAATAGCACACATGATGACGTGTTCATGCTTTCATGCCAAAGCTCATATTTGTCTTTTTAGGTTTATGAACAAGCCATGCAACATTAACTCTGCACTGGCTTTCTACATAACAAGATATTATTCTTGATCAAATACAGCAATACTACTATAACATATATGAACAAATCATTTATACATACCATTTTAACAGGATGGGGTAATTAAAAAATGAAATTAATACTTTTATTTAACATGGACATATTAAATTGGTCAAAAGTTACCATGTAATGACACTTAGAATTACTACTTTAAATAAAGATGTTCTTCTGAACTTCCTTTTATCAAAGAATCCTTAAGTGTATCAAATAAAAATGTGTGTATTTTAGGAATAAATTATTTTAATAATTCATTTTATAAATGACTTTCCAAAATCATAAAAACCTGGAATTTCTCTACTGAGAGACTGTAGATTTATCATTTATTAAATGTTTGTCTAACACTAGTCCAGAACCTATTTTTTCTCAATATTAACTTGGCTGTGCTGTTTATACCAACATTCTCTCTCTCTCTCTCTCTCTCTCTCTCTCTCTCTCTCTCTCTCCTCTGTATGCACATAGTGTTGTTTATTGAGAAACAATTGCTCGGTTGCTGTAAGCCTTTTAAAACACACCTCATATGCCCCTGTGTATTGCTTCCACTAAGCTCTTTTACCAATTACATCATTACCAGAACAGCATAAAGTGGGAATGACATCATCCTTTAAAGCAAAAGTAATTGTGGATTCCTGTCTGTGGTAGCCATGATGGGATTATTACTTTATCTCTCACATTCACTCTCCTGATAATTCTGAGAATTGAATGCAGCTCTATGGTATTACAGGTGCCTGCAGCTATATATCATCACCTTTTTTTATTCTTTTTACAGTGAGTAAATCTATCTGTGATTTGCCATATTATACAGTGTATATATATATATATATATATATATATATATTAGCAGGCACACCGGTAAATGTATATAATGTTATATTGTGTGTCACTACATGAAACAGTAACAGATGTTCTTCTAATTATTTTCACAAGTGTCACAATCAGATCTGCACGACTGGCTTGGTGTGAGTTCAGTATTACAGAAAGACCCTAACTTTAAAATCTTATCTTATCTCTTTGGTAACCATGGTAAATTCAGTCATGACCACATTTAGGACAAAAGCTATTACAGAACAAAGTTTCCTAAGTGTGTTTTCTTATCTTAACTACAGATAGGAAGGGGGTATTACAGAAACCTCCTAACTTGACAAAAAATCCTTTAGGACAACCCCACAGCTGTCCTAACTTAAAAATTATTTGAAAGCTAACGGAAAAACTGCTTACAATTGCGCTGTCCAACAATGGTATTACATTTATTAAAGGGGTGATTCATTGCGATTTCACTTTTTTTAATGTTAGTTAGTGTGTAATGTTGCTGTTTGAGCATAACAATATCTGCAAAGTTACGGAGCTGAAAGTTCAATGCAAACGGAGATATGGTCTTTTAAAATTCTGGCAGTTTAATGCCTACAAAAATGGCTGGTAGGGACTACAAGAAGTTACTTCCCGGGTTCGTGACATCACAAACCCAGATAAACCCCGCCCTTGGGAAAAGGCAGCAAAGGGGGCGAGGCCATGTTGCGCTGCTTTAGAGAAGAGGAAGAGAAAACTAGAGGTGCACGCAAAAATCTGTTCATATATGAATCAGGATTCTGTCTTCTAAGATTCTAATGGATTCACAAGTTTCAAAATCAATGTTCTAAAGCAGCGGTTCTTAATACTGTTCCTCGCGTCCCCTTGCTCTGCACACGCTCTGCATCTCTCTCTCTCCCTTTATCATTCAGCTCACCTCCAACAATGAACTGTTACAATTATACACTTATTTTCACATAGTTATGAGAAGCGTTAAACATGGACGCGCATGCAGTTGCCGTACTGTATTAAAGCTTTAATCAGGATAAAACTGTATATTAAAAGATAACATAAACATTAGACGCGCGCTAGAGGCAGTTTAGCCAATCACAACACACTGGGCTAGCTAACCAATCAGAGCCCATCACCTATTTCTGAGGGAGGGACTTCATAAAAGAAGGAAATGATCAGCCCGTTTCTCAGAGAAGGCACAGAGAGGTTTGGAATAAAGGTAAATTATGTGAAAAATAATGCGTTTTTTTAAAAACTAAGCGTTAACACATGTTAGACTGCACCCCATAAACACAATCAAGCCTAGAAAAAACCCAGTGAACCACCCTTTTAATAATTGAAATTGAAGAACGGCGATGTTTAATGGTAGAAAGACTCTTGGAGGACCCTGAAGATGTGTTACATTTATAAGTAATTACAGACTGCCGCGCAACATGATATTACAGTTAGCACAGGAACTGCAACCAGCACTACAGAGACCAACAAAGCGTCACGGAGCATTACCGGTTATAGTGCAAGTGACTAATGCCTTACGTTTTTTTTGCAAAAGGCGATTTTTAAAGTGAAGTAGCTTCTATTATTTTGTTTACCTCATCAGACAGCAGCTCTCACAGTGTTGGTTGCTTGGTAACAGACCTGAGAGTGGATTGTCGAGCTTGATAATGCAATTTAAGATTTCCTAACTAGAAATAAGATAGGATAAGAATCCCAAATCAAGTTTAGATTTGCTTCTGTAATACGAATTTCTGAAATATCCTAATTTAACATATCTCATCTTAAAGGGGTCATGTGATGCGATTTAAATTTTTACTTTCTCTTTGGAGTGTTACAAGTTCTTGCTGCATAAAGAAGATCTGTAAAGTTGCAAAGACTAAAATCTCAAATCCAAAGAGATACTCTTTATAAAAGTTAAGAGTCAGTCACGTCTACCTAAAACGGCTCGTTCTAACATGCCCCCACATACCTATGTCACTATCTGGGAAGATTTGCATAACGCCGCGATAAGATAAAAAACTTTGTGTAATACGCCCCCAGGTTCCTAAATAGGCAAGCTTTTTCATATACATAGAATAAAAAACATTTCCTCTGCTTCATTTGTCCTCATTGCTCAGTCTTGACATAAGTAAATTTGATTAATATGGCACATTTAAACACATCGATGCTGAACAGAGAAAACTGTCCATATCCATCTACATCAGCACAATCAGTATTCATTCTAGAGTCTAGACTCTCAGTCTGATGTGAAGTGTGAAACTCCACTGCAGCTTATTTCTAACTGGTTCAGTGGATAAAACTCCCCCCATGTTACAACACTCCTTATGTTGAGTGTTACGTGGAATAGAAACTGCAGCAGTTTCTATTTTTTTGTCTCTCGCCTCATTTCTAGATGGATCAGTGCTTTTAGAAATGCTATTTCTGTTTCACTAGGTACTCTGAAAGCATGGCATCTGTGAATTGCTTTGGGAGAGTGTGTGTGAGGGAGAGATAGAGTAAAAGAGGAAGTTGTGGCAGCACTCTGAGCTTTGTGTTCCTGCTGTGGCCTCTTGGCACCCACAGATCAGCATCACTCATCTCTTCCAGTCACCCTCTCCCCTCTATTCTAACACTTTATCATGGCTGAATATTCGTTAATCATATAAGGCAATGCACATTCGGTAAAAGGATATGATATATAAGTCACATGTTTAAAAGTGATGGGATATTGATGTACTGATCTACTGCAGGCATTTAAACTGATTACTAGAGCCTTGAGGAAACCAGCAAGAGAGATAGACGGTAGATGAACAATACATAAAAAAAAAAAACATAACAGAGAACTAACAGGTAATTATTATAACAAACTTAGTGAGCCACTGGTGTCATGGGCCTTTGTGAGTTTATTTCTGGTCATCTGTGACATGTTTTTGTGTGTCTCAATCCTGACACCCTGGTCGATTTGGTTTTTGGGTCGATTTACAGCTCTACAGAAAATGAAAGTGTCAATATTCAGCTTAAGTCAGTTCAGTATTGATTCAATTCAGTAGCAGTTGCAAATTTGTCTTGTCTTGACAAAGAGTCATTTAATATGGTAGTTCAGAGGTTGTGCTAGTTTTAGAATATTTTTACAAATTTATTTCAATAAAAATCTGTTATGAAATATCTTTAATTACAACGTCATGTGAACACCCTTAAGAAAATTAACCATGGTTTTACTACAAAAAAAAACTAAACAAAACATGGTTACTATAGTTAAACCATGGTAACCACAAATTAATCATGGTGTTTGTAGAAAAACTGCGGTTATACAAATGGTAATCAATACGCCAAAAAAAAAAAAAACATGGTTACTACACAAAAACAATGGTTGATTTTCGTAAGGGGAGTCATTTAGTAGACACCTCTCAGAAATCTCAGTTCGAATCGGACCGAAAAGTAACATGCGGTTCAGTCAGAGAGTCAGTAGTAAACTAATTTACAGTACTGAACGATTCACTGACTCAGTAAAAATAATCGGTTCATAAGAGTAATTTGTTTGTGTTTTGTCCGCTATGCCTGCTGTAAACACGTGAACGCTAAAATTATAATACACTAACGCCATCTTGCGAGATGATAGTCTGATTAGACTTTAAGTCAGGGGCAACCAAACTTGGTCTTGGAGGGCCGGTGTCCTGCAGAGTTTAGCTCCAACTTGCCTTAACACACCTGCCTGGAAGTTTCAAGTAGGCCCTCTAAGACTTTGATTAGCTGGTTCAGGTGTGTTTGGGGTTGGAGCTAAACTCTACAGGACCGAATCTGGTGACCCCTGCTTACTGTAATAATGATCATCTCTCTTTTAGCTCAACCCCTTCCTGATCTATGAAAGAAGCCATGCCAGTCCTCTCTGCAGGAGCAGGTACGCTGCACGTACACCTCCACAAAAACACATATGTAGGCCTATATGTATAGTAACAGTATTGACACTCACTGATCTCCTGTTTGCATGCAGGGTTGCATGAGACGCTTGCCCTGCTGACCTCACAGCTGCGTCCAGATGCCAATCACAAAGAGGACATGGTCTTCCTCAAGGATGTCTTCAGTGAGAGGAGTCTCAGCTACCTGATGAAGGTGTGTGTGTGTGTGTGTGTGTGTGTGTGTGTGTGTGTGTGTCATTACTGCAGGTTTTGCATTGAATTCACTTCATATATGCAGCATCATATATTTGAAATTATTTACAGCATGCATCATTTACCTTAGCTTATTTTTAAATGTATGCTGGAAATGTGTAAGAGACCAGTCATCTTCAGCTCTGTATGGGCATTGTGCGTGTATTTGCTAGATCCATGAGAAGTTGCGTCAGTATGAAAGGCAGAGCCCCACCCCAGTTCTTCACAGTGCCTCCACTCTGGCAGAAGATGTAAGTGCTGCAGTCTGTCATACCACATCACCATAGGCAAGATTAATGGTGTTTTACAATAATATATGAGAACAGAGGTTAATGGTATCTGGGGGAAATGAGGGAACCCTAAAACGTTTGACTCAGCAACTTTAGCAAAAGTAGAACTTACACTTCACTGAGAAAGTTAATTAAATTGTATAAGAATGTGTGACTCTAATTTAGCCATACTACAGGGACAATATCCCTAGTTTCTTTTTTATGTTATAAAAAAAATAATATAATAATAATGTAATAATACCGTAATATAAAAATAATCATTTATTTAATAAATAACAATTGATAAAAGTAAATGTACCACATTGTGAAACATAAGAAACCTGTATTTAATATTATAATGTTTAGAATAATTACTGTTTTTGAAAGAAGCCTCTTGTGCTCACCAAGGCTGCAATTATTTGATCACAATTTAAAAATAATTTTGATATTAATATTTTGAAATATTATTATTCTATTTAAGTAGATTTTAAACTATACCTTTTATTAGAATGATTACTAAAGGATCATGTCACACTGAAGAGTAATTCACAGGAATGAATTACATTTTAAATTAGATTAAAACAGTTGGAACTAAATTGTAATAATATTTCACAACATTTCTGTCAGCCTGTCTGTTTGTTTACTTAGTTGATCAAATAAGTCCAGCCTTGTTGTGCACAAGATGTTTGTCTCAAAAACATAAAGGTTGTAATTATTCCAAACTTTTTTGACTCGTAGTGTATCTTTATAACTGTTAAGATTTATAATATTTTTTCAATTCTTGGATTCAAAATGTTGTAGTAAACTGTAGTGAAGTGTTATATTTGACAATATTATAAAGCTATTTGATAGCTTGTTAAATGCTTTGATTTTGTCTACCCTCACTGATTGGTAGGTGGCAGAGGAGCTGCAAAGCGGACCAATGAGTGCTGAGGAAAAAGAGCTGCTACATTTGCTGACATCACCACATCTCCAGGTACACTTTTATTGTGAGACCTTCATGATAACTTAGTCAAAAAAAATCTAGAAGCTCATATCCCTCCTGCTTGGTAGGCGGTTTTGTCAGTGCACGACACGGTGGCGCAGAAGAACTTTGACCCAGTGCTGCCTCCTCTGCCCGATGACTTTGAGGATGAGCTAGACGAGGAGTCTGTCAAGATTGTCCGCCTAGTCAAAAACAAAGAGCCACTGGTAAGAAAAAGAAACAAATGCAAGTTGCACAAATACAGTGACCCTGGAAATATTAGGACACTTGAACCAGTTTTATTTTAATATTATTTATATATTATTATAGTGTTTAGTAATATTTTGAAAAGCTTTTTTTTTTTGTAGTTCCACAAAAAAAGTAGTTCCCTTTCATGGGAACTTCGAACTGCGTCCTCTAGGGGTCGCTATGGGGAACGTCTCGTCGTGACCCGTGTCTGAAGCATACATTGAAAAAACACCAACTCGTTGGCCGGCGACAGCCATGACGTCACTACCGGTGTGACTATAGTATAAATAGTCGCTGAGAGCACACATCATTCACTTCTTCGTCTGAAGCTTGCGTCCGCAGCATGGCAAGAAACCTAGAGGACGCAGTGTCTCGTTCCCTACTCAGGGAACCATGGTTACATAAGTAACCTGAGACGTTCCCTTTCATGGGAACTTCGAACTGCATCCTCTAGGGGTCGCTATGGGGAACGGTATACCCACGCCACCATGCTGAGGGGAGTGCATGCCAGAACCATGGCGAGCACTAAGTACCAACTCTACCATATTGCTATGGGAGTTGCCCCTGGGATGTTAGACGGCTGTCAGTGACGTTATTCCCTACGGCCAAAGGCCTAGGTTACATACCCCAAAATACTTTCCTGTTAGGGCCAGACTCCTGGGCCCGGGGTAGAGCTCAAGGCTTGGAATCAGGAATAGATTCCTTTAAGGGAATACGACCAAGAGCCTAGAATCATACTAGTCTTGGCCTGTCACACAGGGGCTACCGCACGTTTCTCTTTGTATGTGCTGAAGGAACTGTCTCAACAGACCCCTAGTAGCAACACCCTGCTAATGTAGGTATCCAGAGGATACACTCTTAAAAATAAAGGTGCTTCAAAAGGTTCTTCAAGCGATGCCATAGAAGAACCATTTTTGGTTCCACAACGAACCATTCAGTCAAAGGTTCTTTAAAAAACCATCTCTTTTATACCTTTTTGTAATCTGAGGAACCTTCTTTCGCCACAAAGAACCTTTTGTGAAACAGAAAGGTTCTTCAGATGTTAAAGGTCCTTTATGGAACCATTTAGACAAAAAGGTTCTTCTATGGCATCGTTAAGCACCTTTATTTTTAAGAGTGTACATAGGAGGAGTGGTGCCCAAGGCGGAACTGGGGTTTTAAACCATGCAGAAAGAGTACGAAGCTGTACGCGTAACCCTTACCATACAGGATTTTAGAAAAGTGGGCAAAGCATAATGTGCGCACTTACCAGCTATTCGATTATTCCTACCCCTACCTGCGGGCGGGAGAGGAGAGCGAGCCGCGACACTAGCCTTCTGAGCCAGGCTCTGATCCTCAAACCGAGATGGGCTAGGACCCCTGGGTTTGTTCGGGCTCAGACCCGGACTTCGTGAAGGCCGCTATCCCGGTCTATCTGTAGGTCAGCCTGATATGCTTAGAGCATCACCATCGTGTGCAATGAAGCGACAGTCCGACCTGCTGCTGCTGCGTGTGCCCTGGCATCCGAGCGAGATGTCAAGGAGGGGAGTCTTAGAGGAAAAAACAGCCTCTTACATTCCTTCTCAATGTTTAAATGGAAAACAGGAAGAAAGGAAAGCTCACCTGAGCTGGAGGGTTATGGCCAGAAAAATAACGTTCATCGAGATACTTTGTGACGTCACTTTCTTCACCCACTTCACGGCAAGTAAAGCCTCGCCGTGGCGCAATCCATAATTTCCAAAAGCTCATCATACGCAGGGCAGGAGGATTGGGAAGGCTCAGCCTCAGCTTACCTGAGACGTTTTTTGAATATATTTATTTATTTTCAGTTTTAGTAATTATTAATTATTATTTTTTTAATAAGCAAATAACAAAACTGACATTCCTACATGTTGAACAACATGTAGGAATGCAAATGATGCAAGAAAATGAATATGCTGTAAGTGTGAAAAGTGTCCAAATATATTTTGGGTCACTAAATATGAAGACTTGTTTTTTGAAAAGAAGTTGAACAAGATTCAAAACAATTGGATCTATCAGAACCACCATTGTTTAGGTCATTGTTGTTTGGTGTTTCTCTGCAGCTCTCTTCTCTTTGTCTCTGTCTGTTTCTCAGGGTGCCACTATTCGGCGGGATGAGTCCACAGGGGCTGTGATTGTGGCTCGGATCATGAAAGGAGGGGCTGCAGACAGGAGTGGTGAGTGACACTTCAAAGAATTTGTTTTCAATCTTGCGGCCTCATTTTACCCCATGCTGAAATCCATAATAATCGTAATGGAAAGCTATTTTACCAAATATTCTCCTGAAAATCTTTTTCAATTACCACTGAGTATATTAATGGAAAACCAGTGCAGTCTTCAAAGGTCCTATATTCATCTCTAAACCCATCGAAGTGTCTGAATATCCCTGCACCTCTACTGAATGTGCTAGATATGGTTATTTTTCCCTCCTGTCTGCTGTAATGACACACTGTCTGCTGCCCATCTGCGTGGTCAAAGAGAGTCTCCAGAGACCCAATCAAGGGAATCAAACAGACTCACTAACCAACTGACCACAGCTGTTGCCATGGGTATATAATGTGTGTGTGTGTGGTGGGAATTATCTTTTTGTCATTAAAAAATCATTGAACTATGCCTATAAAGTGTATTATTACACACAGCAGTTACAACTTGAACATGTGGTAGTGAATCTGTAAATCAGGTAGCCCTCCTCTCTCCACAGGTCTGGTGCATGTCGGGGATGAACTGAGAGAGGTCAACGGCAGCTCTGTAATGCACAAGAGACCAGATGAGATCAGTCAACTGCTGGTAATACTTCTCTCCTGGAACTTCTCCACATTCATTTGGCATAATTCAATACAAAAAAAAAAATCCAAATCATAAAAGCATTTTAAGCTTGACACAATGCCTTAAAGGGGCCATATGATGTTGCTAAAAATAACATTATTTTGTGTATTTGGTGTAATGAAATGTGTTTATGCGGTTTAAAGTTTAAAAAAACACATTATTTTCCACATATTGCACATATTGTTTCTCCTCTATGCCCCGCCTTTCTGAAACGCGTCAATTTTTACAAAGCCCATTGGTCTGAAAAAAGTGAGGTGTGCTCTGATTGGCCAGCTATCCAGTGCATTTTGATTGGCCGAATACCTTAAGCGTGTGACGGAAATGTTACGCCCCTTACCATGGGATAATTAACACTGAAATGCAAATAATTTACTGACCATCATGTCTTTCCACTTTTGTTCTTGTCCTCCTGTATGATTGTTGTTCTTCTGTAGAACATAAAAGAAGATATTTAAAAAAAAATCCGTCTGTCTGTCTACGTAAACAAATTAATTTATATATATATATATATATATATATTTATTATAGTTATTTAGTTTTTTTTTATTTGAAATATTGACCATACCATAATCATTTATGTTTATTGTCAGAATAACAGAAGTAATTGAACTGTTTTATTTTTTCTTAGTCTCAGTCACAAGGCTCTATCACACTGAAGATCATCCCAGCAATCCGAGAGGAGGACAAGCTGAAAGAGAGCAAGGTAATTGACTATAAAACAGGATAAAACATTGTAATTTATCAGTAATCAGTCCAGCATCTCTCCAGTTTTTGCCTTGTTCACAGGATTTACGTCTCGTTCATACCATGTGTTTTCTTCAGGTCTACATGCGGGCGCTGTTTGATTACACTCCATTGGAGGACAAAGCTACACCGTGTCAGGAGGCAGGGCTTCCGTTTAAACGAGGAGACATCCTGCAGGTGGTCAGTCAGGATGATCAGACGTGGTGGCAGGCCAAGAGAGTGGCAGACTGCAACCTGCGTGCAGGACTCGTCCCATCCAAACAATTTCAGGAGAGGTGGGACAAAACATCCATAAAACACACACCCTACTATCTCAAAGCTAGTCAACACATCACAATTAGGAGTTTATTGAGGCAAAAGTCATAGTTAATGGTTTTTAAATAGTGAGAATGGGATCATAAAATAAAGTGTGACCAAACAGGATGATTTAAAATGTCCTTTAAAGTAGAACTTGACATTATTACAAGGTACACCCTTAAAAAATGATCTTTAAATACACTGAAGTGGCCTTTAATGTCATTAATATTATAATATCTGAAAGTGCAGTTTTTGTTATATACTTTTATGATTTGAAGTGCTCATTCAGTCCAATAAAGCATGCTTCTTTGATTATTTTCCAACCCCGGCTAGCATTTTTTTTTTACACAAGATAACTTGGGTTGCTTAAAAACAATTGTCTGCAATATCAGCATTACTTCAAAATTAGCTTCAGTGTGTTAAAAAGACAGTTTCATGTTTGTGTTTTGTGAATCAGGTTTATACGATCAGTGTGGCTGCTCCACCATTGCAAACAGTCTCTCAAAGCTGTGCATTCCTTTATTCTAAATCAATAAAATTAATTCTAAATTATTCTCCCTGTAGGTTTTATTAGATATAGATGGGCCAGCCTGGCTTTTTGTCCCCTCTTTTATCTCAGCAGGGTGCATTTTAGCTGGATATACTCTGCTAAGAACGGGAGTATTTCTTTCTCACTGTTGAATTTGTTTGATCTCACTGAATAGTTTATCTGATGGCTCCAGAGACAGGAATATCAAGTCAAACTAGTTCAAAACATTTTTGTCAAGAGATTTGATGTTGTTGCACTGTTTGAAGTTCTCCCCATATGGTTTTCCCCTCAGGCGGTTAGCCTACAGAATAAAAATGGGCTCTCTTCAAAGCTCCAAGTCTCCAAAAAAAGCTGTCTGTGAGTATTTCAGTAATTCTTCCTTCCTTACGGAAAACCCCTTCAGTTATTAATCAGTGTTGACTAACAGGAGGCATAATTTGCTGATGTGTGTGCTTGTGTGAAGTTGCCAGGTGATTATTGGGCTCCAACCAAGTGCTTCATGTTCACTAATCTAAAGCTGATTAGAGAACAGACACATCTACAGTTCAGCAACATGCGACAACAAACACCCTTCTCACTCGCTCTCACAGACTCTCATCATGTGCATTAATTTATATTCCCTCCTCTTCTGCTTCTTCCTTTGTTACTCCATCTGTATGTGGGTCTTCACTGCTGGGCGCACTTTGACCTGCATGATGTGGGAATGATGGAATTTTTTTTAATAAATAAACTCAGGGCCTGTTTTAGCAGTTTTCCCATTCCAAGTAAATGAAGTCTGCAGTTTTGGCTTCTTTTGTCATAATATTTTTTCCTTTTTTGGTTACTGCTGACACCAGATGACCAGGAATGTGATAAAGGTGGGTATTCAAGGTCTGAGTTCACACATTCACCCTCAAATACACGCAACACACATGTTGGTTCCATGGTGATTAGGAAATTAGGCCAGTGTGTCACCTAATCTATGTTAATTCTTGGAAAGAGACAACTGCTGTTCTACTATAAACACACACACACACACACACACACAGGTTTGTTTTTAGGGTTTATGGGGACTCTCCATATGCGTAATGGTTTTTATACTGTACAGACTGTATATTCTATTGCCCTACACCAACCCTACCCCTAAACCTACCCCTTACAGGAAACATTCTGCATTTTTAGATTTTCAAAAAAACTAATTCTGAATTATTTATTAGCCTTTTGAATTACGGGGACACTGAAAATGTCCTCATAAATCACCTTCTCGTTGTAATACCTATGACATACCCATGTTATTATACAAATTTGTGTCCTCATAAACCACATAAACATGCGCACACACACACACACACACACACACACTCTCAATGAGAGAGAGGCTTCACAATGTATGACACTTTCCAGGAATAAGGTACACTTTGATGGTCCATTACTTTTTTTTAAAGCATTATAGGATCAAATCTCACAAAATCAATCATCTCATATAATATTAACCCAGCATGACAAGTCACTAGATTAATACAAATGTTGATTTTGGCCCCTTTCTCACCTTAGAGGTGTTTTACCTTCTTGAATCACTTCATTATTTCTCCCCAACTATAAAAAGTAAGATTTCATTTAATTTTGTTTAAAACATATCCAAACATTTATAAATCCCTTGTATATAACTCGTCAGGTCCTATTTTGTACCCTAGTAGAAAGTGCTGTACATTCTTCTTCTTTTTCAATAACTATCAAAACAGACCTGCGGTAGCAATAACATATTACAGTAGAGGTTCAAATTAATAAACAGATAAAAAAAAAAACATATCTTTTTTTTCTGACATTATTCCATCTTCTCTTATCAAGTCCTTCCTTACTACACTGTCAACTAATGCTCTGAGATCTCAAACATCACTTCAACTCTTCAACTTATTTTTAAGGTTCAACTATCCTTTCTCTATTCTCTTCTTAAAGGTGCACTCAGTAATAGTTATGCTTTATACTAAAATAAATGGTTTATAAGCATGTACACTGACATGAGATGAAGACTCTAGTAACGTCAGTAGCCTAAAAAAAACGATCTATTCACTACTGTTCAAACTTTTGGAGTCGGTAAGATTTCTTTATGTTTTTGAAGTCTATTATGCTCACCAAGGGTGCACTTATTTGATCAAAAATACAGTAAAAAAAACATAAATACAATGTGAAATATTATAGTCATTAAAATAACTGTTTTCTATTTGAATATATTTTAAAATGTATAATTTAATTTATTCCCGTGACGCAAAGCTGAATTTTCAGCAGTTATTAATTAGTGTCACTCACTAAAGCAGTCTTCAGTGTAACATGGTCCTTTAGAAATCATTCTAATATGCTGATTTGCTGCTCAAGAAACATTTTGTATTATTATCAATGTGAAAAAAAGGCTGCACAGTTCAATATTTTTGTGAAAACTTTGATAGCTACATTATTTTTTAGGACTGCTAAATAGAACGTTTAACAGCATTAAACAGCATTTATATCTTTTGTAACTTTATAAATGTGTTCATTGTCACTTTTAATCGATTTAATGCATCCTTACTGAATAAAAGTAAATAACAATAAAAATAAATAAAATCTTACTGGCCCCAAACTGTTTCAACTGTAGCTAACCACCTCATGGGTGTCCTGTTTGTGATCAACATATTTTACAATGGCGTCGGTAATTGACACCTCTTGCTTTTGCATAATACTACATTAGGAGGCAGTATAATTCCAGTACAACGGGCATTTTGGCTAGTACAAGAGAAACACAAAATTACTGAGTACACCACCTACAAATATTTTTAGTTTTCTTCCATATAATGTCTATAGCTCTCAGGTGATATTATATTCGATTAGTTTGTTTTTAATCTTTATCACCTTTTCTCATGATCTTTTTCAATCTAAGGGCCTCTTTTCCATTTACTGTAGGTTAGAAACACTCATTGTTTCCTTTGAGTCCCGCTCAACCACTCAAGTGAATCCTAACATTTATACACTATCACACCATCATTTTCTTCCTGGCAAATAACAAACCCCTCGGTTGGCCACAGACTGCTGAAATACCTGCCGCCCATCCGCCTGCCCGCCTAACTGTTGAACCTGCTTGTGTAACTGTAGTTCTGCAGCCCTCCTTCCTCTCTCCTGGTCTCCTCTGCTCACTCCCTCTCTCCCTGCTTGCCTCCCTACAGAAGACTGTGACTGTGAGGGCTATTTCAATGGACAGTACATAGGTGAGAACCTGCATGCCATTGCCCATTCCTGTACCCAGTGCCTGCTAACTCTAACCTTCTGCCTGAGTGAGCTTCTATTGCTGCCTTCCTCTGTGCCAAGAGCTATGGCCGAGCCCTTGATGAGGGGAGGCCGGATTGGGGAGTTATTTGGCAGCATGAAGGGAATTTTAGGTCAGTCAGAATCTTTCACTGTGAGAAAACCAATTTGCAGTGGTGCATTGATGCCTTTGGAAGAGAAAGTGGAACCTGGTTGCTACTTTTGTTTACGCCTTTGATTTAGTATAGTAATAGAAAGAGTATGTGAGTGGAGCAAAACGACAGTAATTTCCCCTCAGTAATCACTCCGCTCCAGCTCATTTTATTCAGCAAGAGTGCATTAAATGAATCAAAAGTGACATTTATAATGTTACAAAAGATTTCTATTTCAAATAAATGCTGTTCTTTTGAACTTTTTATTAATCAAAAATCCTGAAAGAAAAAAAAACTGTGTGACACTGAAGACTGGAGAAACGATGATGAAAATTCAGCTTTGACATCACAGGAATAAATTACAATTTAAAATATTTTCAATTAGAACACAGTTATTTTAGATTGTAATAATATTTCACAATAGTACTTGTTTTACTGTATTTTTAATCAAATAAATGCAGCCTTGGTGAGCATATCTTTCAAAAACATTTAAAAAATCGTAATTTTCCCACATTTTTTGACTTGTAGTTTATGTACTGTAAGTGAAATAAGTGCAGTTTTTGTATCGTTGTGAGGAAAATAGATGCATGTAGAGTACACAATGGCGAATAAGGGCAGAATTACCAACAAATCATCAATTTCACACACGTTTTTCACTTGTCCCATTTTTGTCATTAGTTTTCACAAAACATTTTGTGATTTTGATGAGTGCTTTTCTGATAATAAAATACATTATTACAAAATTTATTTAAAATAGTGTAATTGATATATTCTTGTATCAGTATAGATTTTATTTATTTATTTTATTTTTGCTAATAGCCCATAATTACTGTTTTGCACTTGATGAAAATTGATGCTCAAATATAGCTGTGCATTATGTCCATGATGGAGAGATATTGGAGTGGATTTGGATGGAATGAGAACATCAATGTGCCAACTTACAAATAAAACATTCATTGCTCTATAGGCAAAATCATGCTCTGCACCACTCACATACCCTGATAATAAGAAGAGAGACAGAGTTTGTCATGCCTCTGAGTTAAAACTGTTAGCAACATGTCTGGCATGTTTCAAGTCTCATTAGTTAATGGGTGCTAATTTGAGGAGCTGTTAAAAGAGTGAAGAAAAGGAAGTGATATTCAGTTCATATAGTGTTAGATATTTCATTCACAGGCTATCACGCTATTTTCACAATGTGTAGCAGCTGTAGAATTCTGTGTCAGTAGGGACGACCAACAAGCTGACAGCTTTTCATCTGCATATCTTCACTTTCTCTCTGACCCTAGAAGTCTCTTTCTTATGATCTGTGAAGACGAGTTTTGTCCAAGTTTAGATACTGTGACTTTCTGTGGGTGGCGTGTATAAGTATTGCTATGATATTTGAAACACTGAAGCAAATTTTCAGCACAGAAAAAATTTTTGTTCACTAACCCCCTGTAATTTATTCATTTTTCCCCAAGTGATAATTACGCTGAAATAGCATGTTTGGCGATTATGTTTGGCCAAATTTTATTAGAAGTATATATAATTAATAGACAAATATGTAACTGGGGATATGCACTTCTATTCAAAAGGTTGGTGTCAGCATTTAAAAAAATAAATAAATGTATACTTTTATTTAAGAAGGATGCATGAAATTGGCAGCGTATTTTTCAAAAGATTTTTATTTTAAATAAATGCTTTTTTAACTTTCTATTCACCAAAGAGTCTTGAAAATAATGTAAATATTAAGCAGCAAAACTTTATTCAGCATTGATAATTATAATAAAAAGTGTTTCTTGAGCAGCAAATCATCATGTTAGATTGATTTCTGAAGGGTCATGTGACACTGAGGGCTGGAGTAATGATATTGAAAATTCAGCTTTACTATCACAGGAATAAATTACATTATAAAACATTTTTAAATAGAAAATTATTTTAAATGATAATAATGTTTCACAATATTACTGTATATAATAATAATGATGATGATGATAATGCAACAACGGGGACGGCATCTGCGAATATACAATCAGTGTGAGTCATAGTGGGACTTTTCCTCTTGTTCAAATGTGACCAAATCTCAGTTCACGTTGAAACTAGGTGAGAATAATTTACCTTGAGAATAATCTTCCTCCACTCTGGCAGGTAGCACTTTCCCTTGCCCAGTCTCTGTGTGAATGTATTCCTTTGCTGCCTTCTGCTTTATTTAGTCCTCCATCCCTAAAAAACCCACTCACCCCAGAGCCACTGTCAGGCTGCTGCCCTTCTATTGGACACTCTGCACATTCCACCCTGCACGACTGGCTGTGCACTCACTCACTGAGTCAAGTGTGTGATAGCTAATGTGATGCAACTCTCAGCCTTAGCGACTGACCGAGAATCATTTTAATAATCTGATATTGATAATAATACTGGGACGTGCCAAAGATGGGAAAGTCTAGAAGTCAGACTTACTGACAGCATGGAATCTGTAAAACTTGTAAATTTAGGCAGAACTCGAATATCTGTCATTTAAAACGTTTTTGCTTATCCCCTGTTTGCAACTTATTAAATATTTTGGATAATTTGTTGTTGCTTTCAACTGCCAGTAAGTGTTATCCTCTTTCTTTTCCATTTATAACATTTTACTATCCTTATAAATATTTAAATTCATTGCATGCGGCAGACTTCCCCTCACAAACGTTACAGGAATTGTGAGAAAGTGTGAAGATTCCATGCAGGCCGACTTTTGGGGTAATGCTGATGCAGGATTTAACTCATGGTCAGTTATAAATGACCTCAGGAGTGACTATATGAACTGCAAAGCTGATTTTGGGTCAGTTGTTGAGGGCAGAGTGTGGCTTGTGCACAAGTGTGAAGTGGTCTAATGCGCATTGTAGTGTCTTCGAAGTGTAATGCAGTGGCTCCCTCCTGTGGCCAGGTGTTTTCCTGGGAGTTTTACTCAGGTACAGTCCTCGATCTTCCCACACAGCTTCCCACACCATTAACCTCCATGTCCTGAAAAATAACACACACCATTTCTTATAACAATACTGATAGAGGTGAAGATTAGAGGTATGCTTCAGGAGTTGCACTGGAGTTGAAACTACACTAGTCAACATTTGAAGTGGATCAAAACCTTTCAACAAAGTTGTCCTAAAACAAAATGTGTTCTTGTCTTAGGACAACTTTGATTAACTTTTTTGATCCACTTCAAATGTTGACTACTGTGGAAATTTCTGGGTTACTGGTTAGGTTATGGCATTGTCTTTATTATTTCTATAAAAATAAAAGTGCTTAAGAGTTTCAAGAGAGTAAATGTTGACTACAGAATTTCAACACTTAATTTTAAATTACGGTTGCACTTTTTGTCTTAATTCATAATTCTATCATAACGGTATTACATGCACTAAGAGGTTGGATTCTCCACTGAATGGAGAATAAATAAAATTGAATTATAATAACTTCTGTAAATACAATAAATACACACTACCATTCAAATGTTTGGGGTCAACAAGATTTTTATTTATTAAATAAAAAAAAATACCTTTATTCAACAAGGATGCATTCAGTTGAAAGTGACAGTAAAGACATTTAATGTTAAAAAAGATTTCCATTAAAAGAAAAAAGTTTCAATTAATAAAAAAAAAAATATTTGGAAAAATGTAGTTTCCACAAAAAACATTAAGAAGTGCAGCTGTTTCTTGAGCAGCAAATTGTCATATTAGATTGCTTTGTGGCTTTATCATGGTAGGAATAAATTACATTTTAAAATATATAGAAAATTTAAAATGTGCTGTATTTTTGT